CCCCAAAACCCCAAAACCCCAAAACCCCATATGGCAAAATTATCTTAAAAACGAGTAAATTAAATCTCATTTTAATTTTTAAAAATTAGATTGCAACAAATTTTCAATCGAATAATAAACATAGTTTTTGTTGCTCTAAATTTAATATTTAAGCAACTTTAATCAAGAAAAATTAGAAACTTAATTTAAAATAAAATGCAAAATCAAACTTCACCTTGTGATTACAATCACTCCAGGTAAGCCAAGTAAATATCAATAACAACAAAATAGCATTAACGTCAGGAATTTCCCAATGACTTGGAGCAAAGCTGATCTTGAGTCTATTTTCAGAATTTCAGGAGAGATCACTGATGTAAATATCATAGGTGAACGTGGCTAATAAGGTTGGAGAGACTTTACCAAGTTCGCAATCATCTGCTTCAAAGATATCTAATCTTCCCAGAGAGCTATTTCAAAGTGGCATGGATCTGAAGTCCAAGGAGATAAGCTTGTAGTTTATGATTTCAAGTGTTATTAGAAGTACAGCGAAGAATAGCGTTAACTTAGATATTAGAATTAGTCATTAACTTAAAAGCCTTAAATAATAAACAAATCAGGCGAGGCTAAAAATTTTGAATTGGATGTAAAAGTACAATATTTGGTATCAATGAAAGAGATTTCAGGATAAGAAACTCAAAGCCTTACCAATTACTGTAAAGAGAATTCATCAAATAATTAGGGTACAAATGTGGAAATCGTCACTCTTACTACAGAAAATAGTATAGGACAACAATATCATGTTTAATAATAGATAGCTTTATAGAGCGGAGAATGTTTACTGACCAAATTACCCAACATAAACATTAATCTAAAGGATGTTAAAATCTAAGCAGTAGAACCTTAATTAAGTATAGTCAACCAGTAAAAATAACTTGCATTTTGAGAAATATAAAAATAGTTAATTATTAACAGCAATATTAGTTTTTACATTTTATCAATAACATTTCAATAATACACAAAATAATTTGAGGGGTTTTGGGGTTTTGGGGTTTTGGGG